AGATGCAGTCCCATGGTAGCCGGTGACCAACGACTGGTTCGTACGCCATGTGTACCATTGGTTTGGGATCCGGTTAGAGAGTCGGATATTCGCTTTTCGTCCTCTCATTTTCGTAAACAACCTCCCGCCACGGAAAGGCAGTGAGTAGGACTTCCCTGGCAGAGGCTATATACACGTGGCCGTGTGAGAGTATTTCGAGAGGGAGGGAGGGCCACTTCCATGTGTATTTATCAACTCAACTGGATTCATTTATATAGGGCGTACAATTGGGCAAGTCTGTCATCGCATAGCAGAACACCATTTATCTTGATTGAACAAAGAATAGGTAAGAATGATTAAGAGTTCTATTCTGGCTCACTTGGCGGACACTGGACATCAAGTTAACTTGATTAAAGCTTTTGAGGTCATCCACCTCATTCTATCAAATGTGCCACTGGGTTTAGGATTTCGTCTGTTTCAGATTGCTAAGGCTATCACAAATCCAGCCTTTCCATTCAAAAGTAGTTTGTGCAAACACTCTCCCGTACCTTGGCCATCGGTATAGTTTCTAGCTGAACTTTGATTCAACCATTCCGAAAATATTCAAACAATTTTTTAACTTGTTCCACATTTGTATTTTTACATATTCTCAACATCCGTCTCTTGATTCTTAAATAACCAGTACAATGTTCACATTTCATCAAAATATTTTGTCATTCATTTTTATATATTGTGCAATGTAGCATTATAAACCTCTTCTAGTTACTTAATATTGTTTTATATATTAATGTTGAGTCATGATGAAAAACTAATGGACAAGAAATTTCGCTCTATTTGTTCTTTCTACTAAATACTCCAATTTTCTTGTACTCTTCTAACAACTAGTTGTGTGCTTTCATTTTTTTCCTTGGCACATACTTGGTTCCGTCTTTTAAAAGTAGTGTAATCATTCATCTACGTAAACATTAAGCTACCCCATCGATATTTTACCGTGGTCACTAAAAATAGCATGAAACATGATAAAAAATACGTCTGCATATTTAAATCACGTTTAAAAAGTGTATATTTAAATCTAAAAACTTTTTCAAAGTAAGTAAATGTGTATACTTATGTGTTAACATAGTTTATCTGTGTTTGTGACAAACCATTGAGTTAAATCCGATTTAAATGTTACCACTTCAACCAGGTGAATGTGCAGAGAATTATTAGCGGCCTGCTCGAATATCTGGGCTACCTGTTCCTGCTATCTAGATATTTCAACAAATTATCTGTTTTTGTTTGTTTTAACACATCATTATATCCCTTAACCGAATAACTATTCAAGGGCGTTCATGAAAATTTGACGACCTTCTGCTGTACAAGTTACAAAAAAATACAATTAGACATCGTGGTGGCTGTCAGTGTGCATTGAAATGGATTAAAATCATTCAAATGTCGATTCCTCAACTGCTAATATCTAACTGGCAATCACTCAGTATTTATCGTCAGGATCGACCAAGATACAGGAAAAGAAAACTTGTTAAAATACTTTCTGCTGATAATTCTATGTTGTACCAAAAATATAATATTGAATAAAAGAATTAATAATAATAATAATAATAATAATAATAATAATAATAATAATAATAATAATAATAATAATAATAATAATGATCAAACAGGTATGTAGATGTCTGCGAAGAGTATTTTTGTTTGGATCATTAGTTTATCAACCTAACTTGTTATTAACCTTCAGCACCACATAGAGAATAAATTGATAAAGGGAAATTATGAAATGCAGATAGTGATGTGACAATAGTGGGGGATAGTAATAACGATATTGTTTGAAAAATTGGTTGCAAATATATGACCAAAGACATGAAATAACGTGATCTTCACGATTCAGAATAAAATGATGGAATGAATGTTTCTATATTATCGTGACCATCTTTCAGAAATATCTCGACTTAACTTGCCTTAGTTTTCACTTTCCTAGTTCTTTCTAGATGAGGTTTATAATCTCGTTGACCAAAGTAACATTGCCGCCTAAAACTACTGCTACACAAGATTTTTCCCCGTATTCAGTGGATAAATAATGATGTCTTGTACCTTAAATAATCATAGTGAATAACTGTTTATGAAGCGATAATATTGTCCAGTAATTTTTAGCTTTTAAATTAACAGACGTACATGATCTATGAGGTAATGAAAGAAGTAAAAAAATATCTGAAATTCAACATGTTGAGAATCTGTCAATTACAACATCTAATTCATACTACTTTAGAAGTAGTTCGAATTTGTTTAATATGATATTTTAAGTTCCACATGAGTGTTTTGTTCTGTGTAAATCATCAACACGATATATGAATCATTAATTTATTTCGTTTAAGCATCTTCCCTTTACACCTGATGGAGAGTACAGCAGATATTAATTCACATACTCTACCAACACTTGGCAATCTTACAATCAATGAAGAAGGAGTAAGTAATGCAATCGAAGATTTGGATTATATTGATTCACCGTTATCATCTCTTTACTCTAATCGTTTCATTTATTGGAATTCATCAACTTGTTCTGTTATGACAACTTTACACTTTTACACCGGGTCTGGTAAGCGGCCGATTAAAGGGGCGAAATTAATTCTAGACGCTATGGTGAATCTACGTGAGGAATTTTCTCTGAGGTAATTATTTTCTTATTGGTAAAACAAAACAATCATTTATTTTTAGGTTATTTAGAGCAGAATGAAGATATATATAATAATTATTATTATTACTAAAAACAATATACATTTGCAAGTTAAACTGCTTCTGTGACAACAATTAGCTCAAAATAATAATAATATATTCTGAAAATAATAATTACAGAATTGCCGGTTTACAGGAATTGTATTCTTGATATAGATATTAATATTAAATGTAGAGGACATATATGTGATATTAGATTGTTTCAAGTGTTCTAGTTCAAAAATTGTTTAGGTAGTATATTTTTCACACTTATCACAACAATGAAGGGCATCATCCAGGATCTTTTTAATTTTTAGGTTGACGTCATGTTTATGCATGAACAGTGCATTTTAGGTCATTTCCTGAACCATAAAAACGGAGGCAGAGAGCACGGAATAAAAAAGGCAATGATTACCACGAGAGGTTTGTTGGGTCTATCACAATACATATGCCAAGTTATTTTATGATCTACCATTCGTGTTAGATGTTATTCAAATTAGTTAATGTTGCCAGGGTCGGTATTAGTGTAAAGTGACAGCATGTTGGGAGGTTTACTTAGTGGGTTCAGTATTAAAAACGGTTAGACGTTTAAAGTTTTTATAATCTCACTTGTGGAATAAGATACACTTACATGTCTAAGAACATTCAATGCGTTTTCAGAGGAGAAGTAGATATCGGTGCAGCGAACAGTGGATGGAAGTGATTTTATCACGGATAGATTTTGGTACATTATTCCAGAATCTGGATAACTTACTGGTTAAGTAATTCATATACAGACGTGGCGAGGTCGTATTTATGGCTTACTGAGAAGTCTCAAGCCGGGACAAAATATCTGTTCGGTGCTCTCTAGTTTTCAATCGTTTTTTTTTCAACTGAGATCAGTTCACTTCCTGCCTAATCTTGTACCAACGGTAGAACAAGTACTAAGTATTTGAACTCGGGATTTAATAGTTTTATTTTTGTTATTCAAATAGTTTTATCTGGTTACTTATTAAAGCTTGTGTGTAAATGCATTACTTATAGTATGCTTAATCTTCAAACGTTTTGACAGACCTAATTCATGGCATGAAGAAATCGCTGTTAGGCTAGATTCACACTGTTGGATTGTTTGTAGGCGATCTAATGGGCGTGAAGTATATATGGTATTCACAATTAAACAAGAAAGTTTACATAAATTAGAGGGTATGTTTTAAATTCTATATAATCATTTAGATTTTGAAACAAGTAATTTATGAAAGTGTTTATGAAGCGAAGTAAATCGTAAATGTTGAAAATCTTACATTTTCTTGTCATTTTTTAGTCAGATAGACAAGAAGCATAATCCAACTTATCAAATGAAGTCGTTTATCCATTGAGATAACTTAATGTAGTTTTCAGAGAAAAGAAGGAATTTCTACATAAACGCTCCCCACTAAAATTGTGTTAGATTTGTTCAATAGAAATCAATAAATGATAATAATATATTTCAATACGTCATATGATTGTGTCAAATATACAAACTTAAATGTGATGATTAAAATAATTTCACATCATCATTGAATGAACGACTGTTTTAAACAGAAAGATAATAAGCTAGTTTCCAAGTCAGATTATTGTTCGAATCCGGTTGATTTAATACTTTTCTTTTAAAAAAAATACGGTTGTGTCCTCAATATTGCCCATAAATGTATATATACGCAGTTGTTATTTCTGAAAGAAAAAAAATTTGATTTTTCTGCATTTTCGTTTAGTCTCTGTGTGATTGTGAAAAATGTATATAGATGATTCATATGTATCCTTAATTATTCACTTGGTCAAAACAGAGAGATCTAACTCTTCAGATTCCTGCGTTTCGGGGCATTTGGGCAGTAGCCTTTTTTCCGGCACTTGGACTAAAAATCGGCTGAAATTCCTTAAACTTTATTTAAGGAATTTAAATTGCGTGTGAAACATCAAAAAGCGCAATCAATAAGCTAATCAAATTGTTAAAGAATAAATTTATGCAGTGGGTTTCGGTCAACTCGAGTGATAGTACGGAATCCGTAAATATTCTTTTTTGTTATCCTAAGGAATAACGGTTCTTGATTTTATCGACTAATGCCATTCTCATTTCTATCTATCTGTATTTCTTAAACTTTATTACATGGTTTATCTATATATCGTGACTGCCGTTAATGTTCTATTAAGCACCAAATATTTGTTTAATTTTATTGATTTTTATATTACATTCCCATCGTTTTTTAAAGAAGCTATACGACATGTATATGATACAACGTTTCGGGGTTTATTCCTATTGGATTGAAGGTTATCCGATTACAACGTTCTTACTGTCTATCATGCATTGGTTCAATTATTGTTTGGAATCATCATGCTTGAATGGTGTTTTATTGCATCAAATTGACGGACACCGGCTATATGCTTGTTGTGTAAATGTTTTTTTTACATTTGTATCTATATAATTACTTGTATAGTATTTATTTCATCCCAATTTGTTCTCTGATTTATATATAATATGTATATGCATATAATGTCATCAAAGAAATAAATTATATTACTGGTTTCAAGAATATTGCCTTGTTTTCATTTTATCCCAAAATAATAATTCAGTCAACGGCTAGTGTTATTGTTATTACTAAATGTCGTACTATTATTCGATTAATATTTTAATTACGCTGATTAATTTATCGGTACATCACCATAAGCTGAAGCCAGATAAAAATGGGTCATTCAAAACACTGTCGATGTTTATTTCAGTCTCGTGACGGAACATATATGTGTTTTGTTTTCTGGTCTGTATTATCAGCACCTAGTTTCAGTTTAATCGGTGAAAAAAAAGAAAAATCACTTTGTGACTATACATAATGATAACTTTTGTATAACACGAATCGGATACAGTTGGAACAATAGAATTGGTTGTACGATTTTACTTACTGACTTATAATTTATGCACACGAAAAAAGGATAAGATGCTATTGCTTTAATTTTGCAAGGAGTTGAATATATGTTGTATCAAAAATCTTTTATTTAAGATGGCGAAGTTATCCACTCATGGATATACTAAATTTCATCTTGGAGTGGGTGAAATTGTGATCATGTTCTTAAACTCACGTACTGTTAGCACTATTCATATTTTAAAACGAAATATCACACAACTAGGTTATCAGTTGACATAGAGTTGTAAGAAAGTGGTAAGTTGGTTTTCAGTTGAAAATCAAAATATCTTATATTTGACATAAAAATACTTGTGAATAGGTTAGTTGTTTGTTCTTCTACGTGACTTCAGTTACTAAGTACCTTATTAAATCGAACTGAAAAGAGTAGCATTCAAATCGAGTAGTAGTAGCTAAGTTTTTAAACATCTAGCCACTGGCAGTTCCATATGAAAGTGATGACTTTTTGGTAAAGTTTGTTTTAGTCAACCACTATCCTGTTCAAATAATTTGTATTTAATTCATAGTTCTTACTCTATGGACTATAAAATAATATATATAAGGCATAGCAGCTATTAGATACATATATCTGTTTGTATAAAATAACCAACTACCTAAACTTTCTAGTGTTTCAAGTTAAATTTTACAAACTGAGTCAATTATCAACACAGCACTTGTTTCGATAAAATAATTCACACGTTGATTATGTATATTGACGAAACTAGCCTAGGTATTATGACGCATTGATCGTGTGCTTAAATACATATAATGTGAAACTCCGAAATTCTGCGTATCTGAAGTTATTGAAATATATATATAGAAGAGGGTTTTTTAGTGACTGCTACTACTACTTATTGTTGATTTAGTGAGGTCCTTGATTATTTATAAAATAATCTTTCAAATGATATCTTTTTCGATCTTTTTGTTCAGTATTAAAGACAAAGGGTTTGAGTTTACTGATCATTAAAATCAGTGTAAGCTTGGATTTAGAAGCATGCATATTTAATTCAGAGTTAAAGATACAGTTGACCACTACCGAGCACATTTAGATTTCGATTGCGGGTTTCCTACAAATTGTCCCCATTAAGAATTAATACTTTGATTTCTAGTTGGTTGGTCGCATATATCGATCGACAGAATCCAGTCAGTACTTGAAAACACGAGATTTGGTTGTCCATTTGTACTTTTTAGCTGTTTTGTTGTTACGTTTACGAGGATTTAGTAATTTGCGACTTTTTTATAGACTTTTGGAAAGCGAACGTACTCAACATTTTTTTAAAATCCTTCGAATTAGTTTTCCCACTCTTTAATGACTTTGGGATCGGACTTTTCAACATCTTAGTGAAAGGTTTTCTATCCATCAAATGAATCAAGCTAAGAGGTAGGTTCATCTATGAGACCGGATGGTGATCGTGTCGTACTGTAAACTTCATAGTTAGAAAATACGGATTTTTCAAGGTTCCAACTTATTAGTTAAATAGTATCCATTTCTTCAAAGTACATGAGTATGCTATATTCGATTCTGTATAAAGTAGTGAATATGTACTGGTAATAAGTTGTAAACCAGGACGAAACACTTGTCCAATTCTCCATAGTTTTCTGTTACTGATTTCTAGTTATAAAATATTTTTAAATCACCTCAGTTACATTCATTTACAAAGTTCAAATCTATTTGTATATTTGAAATTGTTGCCGGTATCCAACTAATATGTATGCATATATATTAATTGTTTTAGTCATTATTTGCAGCATTTGGATGTTGTCGACGTGATAATATATATGATGACGATTATACACTCCTTGATAGAGAATTGATGAAATTTTATGTGAAACTTGATGTACTCACCGCTGCTCCATCTGTACTCATTTTAAAATCCGGTTTAAGAATTTGTTCTAATGGTGCTGCTAGAACAAATATACCAATAATACAAGATTATGCTTATTACGAAGTGAAACTACAAAATTATAGAGGGTCATGGGGAATCGGGCTGTGTACAGTAAATGTAAGTTGTTCATACAATATTTTGATTCATATTATCTTGATCAACACTTTAATTATAAAAACACCTGTACACAATATGATCCATTACATATTAGTCATTTATACTACCAGTCAGCAATATATGACTTAGCATATTTGTATGTTATTTTTCCTTTAAATATCTCGTCCACGTAGCATAAAGATAAAATCATTGTTTCTACTCCTTGAAAGATATACGATTTAGTTAATATACGAGGGTTGTTGGTATTTGATTATAGGTGTCTTTAAATCATTATCTGCATATTTTCGAATGTTTATGTGGCATAAACACATCCACACTAACTAGCAAACGACCAGCTTGCTAAAGATTAAGATTGGTGTCTAAATAAGATCAGTCTTTGAAGTTATTATTTGTTGGTTCAGACCATGTGGGGGTGTGGAGGTTTATTATTTTGTGTCAATGAAATAACCGTAGTTAAATTAAGTGTTAATGAAAAAGATAGTTTTACTCTTTATGATTTTCGGTTATATTATTCTATACTTTTCATTTTCTGACTTCATTTCTCACATTTTATTGTTGCTGCTAACATTTCCCTCACCTCACTATTTTTTTCTTGGTTATTATCTTCTACTGTGTTGATGTGAAGTGTACAAACTTGGACTGTACACATTTTAGCTAGATTCTTCTTCATTCATAACTATCTGTCTAACAATCGCGTTAAAAATGTCAGAGAACAAAAGAAAACAGCTGTATAATTAAATGAGAATTATATACGAATAGTCACTGTATTTTATCTGAAAAGAAGCTTAGTTAAAAATCGTTTGTTACACTAGCAAATTACTTTTGTTATTTGACTGCTAACTAGGCTTTGATATCACTTCAATATTTTAAACATAAGGCTCATTTGTTATATATCTGGAATTGTTGTGACTTTATGTTCGGCTTTTTGTCACGCGATCCATCCACCAATCAAAATACGACTTATACAACCTTAGCACTGTGCCAAACCAATGACGTTCGATCGGTATGAGCAGCCTAGCGTCCTTATTGGTCCTATGCCCGCCTAGCCCGTCCGCTTGAGTCCAGAACAACAATACCAGCTTCCACTGTGCGAATCGAACCGATTTATTTATTTGAGACATACTGGGTTTATATATCAACCAAACAGACCGCAACGCACCATAAAATAGGAAATAACATTCATACACAATAAAGCCAAAAAGTGACTGTGAACGTGGGAGGCAGTAGTCAATAAACCGAACATAGCCTAAGAACAGTAAATCGTACAATAATAAACTATAGGTCAAAATGAAGCTTACAGTAAAAGGAATGTAAATATACATAATCTAATTATTGAATAGTTATACTAATATTAGTTAATTAATATGTCTCAGAAGTCACTCATGATTTAATATTCACTCGGATACAACAGGAACCAGAACTTGCGTGGTTGAAAACAAGTCGTCAGGAAATCATCAATACTTTATTGTGTTCTTATTTACTACTAATCCTTGCTTTTAATCATACGTGAGCGAGTGCCCTCTCAGAACGATACCACTGATATATTCAGGCTAACATACATCCTTTGTTGTTAACTTACCAATTATATAGTCATATACTTGGCTTCCAGATACACTTTAGGTGTGAGTAATGGTGATACTATCTGATTGTTCAACCCAAAGTAGGTGTAGTATGATTCGAAGCTGAGACTTAGTAACTGAAATTGAAATGCCTTAACTACTCGGCCTCCGCTTTACCTATCCTTTACAGAAAGGGACGAAGTATTTTAATTTACCACTAGAAGATTAAAACTGCCATGTTATCGTACTCTTAGTGTTAATCACATTCTGTTCTTACAATGAGTCTATTAAAAACTGAAAAATCCGATGAGTGTCAAGACCCACCAAGATTAGGTACCGTACTTCTTGCAGAAGTTACTCAACCATTAATACACGAAACTAAACACATGAATCCTTTTTTCATCCTATCGTACCAACTATCTGATGAGGTCTACGACAGTCTTCAATAAACATCGGTTTTCTATCATCTTATTGAATGTTCCATGTCAGTAGTCCCTATTTAAAAACCATTGTGACATTTAGGCGTTTAACTGGTACTTTATCGCCTATTCTGTATAAACCTCTTTTTCGTAATTGTTGTGCGATAGTCACTTATCTTTGTTCCTCTCATTTGATTTATGCAAAAACAAGAATTAACGTTCGAATGACCAGTAAAGGCTGAAATGAATTTTTATGTTGCATTTGTTTACGTTTTGGAATTTGATGTCTGTTTAGTTTACTGGACTTACAATCAATAAGTGTATTTGACTGTTTGGAACGTGATATTTTGATTTGTCTAACCATCATCATTGTGATGGTAGGTGTTTGAACACTAGGTATGCTTAACATTAGATATCTTCGATATGAGTGAGATTTGCTTAATTTGTCGTTTGAAATTAAATGTGTAGTTCGGTGAACTAAAATCTGCTTGAAATTTCAAAAAGATCTCACTAAAATTAAAGTTAGATGAAGAAAGTTGTAGTAACTGAATGCAAACTGATGTCCTCTCGAATATCGATCCAGTATCGTACTTAAATTTTGCTGTTAAATAAATATTCAATCACACAGCAGAACTAAAACGCGTTTTCAAAAGTATCATATGCAATCAGGTATGAATCCGATGGAAAACTTATATTGTTGAAATGTGAAAAGTTTATGGTTTGAGACTATGACATATGCTACGACACATTGGGAACGGTTGCATATATTTTTTTAATGACAGGTTTCTAGCGTACAACACTTAGGTAGATGGTACCCGTAAACGTCTTAACTTCGGTTTACTGGATAAACAACTGAACTTATCTACAATGTGAGAAGTAACCTATTAAAGACATCTTTCAACTGACGAAATTCCTGTTAGTTTTGAAAATCACTTTTTCTGTTCTCTCATTTGAAGTGCGGAATCCTAATATTTTCACTGTAAACAGTTCATTATTTACAATATAAATGAATGTTCTCAGATTTGGCAAAAACCAAATCTAGTATTCTAGAATCTCAAAATATAGATCGATTTTGATCAAGTGCTTTGGAGGGAAATAAATTCTGTAATCTCATTAACAAATATTGTTGAATGAAAAAATATTTAGCTAAATGGCTTAAACGAAATTTTGTGTGACTTAAGGATACTGACAAATCATGAATTATTTAAACTTAGACGTTCTAACACTTGGTGTCCAACTCGTGAGTTGGGAAGTATCATGCTTGTTAAAAAGTCTAATGGTCCTGGGCTTGAATATGCACAAGATCATATGTTATCTTTTCTGATGTCTCAAAATGACACGAAACCTTTATTCTCAGTAGGTCACGTGGAATACAAGATTTACTTGTCTTTTTTCTCCTCTTACATATTTCATTTTTTGAAATGTAACGAATGTGTCCATGTTTAAATTGGTCTCTTACGTAATGACACCTAGTTATAGTGCTCTTCATAATATTATTACAAAAACATTGTTTATAACGAACTTAAATAAAGTAGATCACACCTTTGTTTATTATTGAGAATCTTATACTTCATTTTAATTAGGCAGTTATGATCAAATGGATTAAAACATTTCTGTAGGTCCCACAAACTTCTGTCTAGTCAGAAGGGTATACTAACTATAACAATCATACTTTACGGTAAATCAATCCCGAAATAATGGAGATTTGTAGTTCATGGGGACGATTTTGTTGAAACCGTGTTCTCAACTATAATGGTTTATTCGTGAGCCTTTCATTATCTTACTAGAAAAGTCATAAATAGATATGAGGCCAGGAATCAAGTCAAAGAAGAGAAGACAATTTCATCATTTTCCTACTTCAATTTATTTATAGAGAACGTTGTAATGGATAGCGGTTTATAAGCATATTCTAGCGAGATGAATCAATCTATTAATGAATCATTCTAATACTCAGTTTTGTAAAGTTTAGTGCACAAGATTTATGTAAATGCTTCAATCTTGATCTTAAAAGTTACACCAATTTCATAAATCTTTCTTTTTTGAAGTCAGTAACTTCTATTGTCTCACTTGTTATTTGCAATTAGTAAATGTCGATTTATTTCCTTAATTTGAATTCTTCATCGGATTATTTGTTATTTCTAAAATTAGACTCCATTGGATTCTGTCCAGTCGCTTACTGATGATTCGACATGTTGGATACTTAGAAACGATATGAAAATATGGAGTCGTGGTCATGTGATTGGTCAGTTAAAACAATCTGTTGAAGAGGGTGATATAATTGGGGTGATCTATGATAAAGGGGAATTGAGATTTACAATCAATGGAGATATTGCTCATGTGTATTCGGAGCAAACAGAACAAAGCCCACTGTGTATTGACAGCGGTGGTGAAGTTTTGTATCCTGTATTAGGTGTGGGAGATGATACAGTGTTGGATGTGGCTTTTACGGCGAACTCATTTAACTACCCACCATTATCGGTTGAAGGATTCGGTGAGATAAAATTCCAGAAAGAAGTTACTTTTTAGATAAACTTTCATTGTTATTACAACCATCATTCCGTTCTATGTCATTTTATAACAAAATGCCACTGATTTATTGAGAATATACCATTCACATCAGGGTATTCGGTTTGTTTTATGATTCCAAAAGTTTTATATGGTGCTCATATATAGTTAAGTTACTGTTTTCAAGTATTATTTAGCCGACAACTAAAAATACTGTGATTGTTTTTCCTCGACGAACCACATCAAAAAGATAATATTTCGTTTCAGAATGGTTTATCTTTCCGTATTTTATTTTTATTGAGACTTCGTAAAACTTGATTGTAATTGAGTTTATTTCTGAATGAGTAAACTATTGTAATTTTCATTGGATTTTCCTGTGTTTGAAGATACAATTTTAGCACTGATATTTGATAAATTTTTAGTGAACTTCTTAAATACAAGTTGGTAGTTCATTAGTTACCGAAAAACAACATCAGACCAATAACCAGTAAATCAAGTCAATTCAAATTGTGAAATCAAGCATTGATGAAGATCAGTTTTAAAGCACTGTTTCGAAGTTAGCGACTGAAGAACCCATGCTATTTTCAGACTTGCGTTCAGGATATCGAATTCGTTTTTCCAACGTACTCATTTGATAAGCTTTTGTCATTTTCCAGAGACTACTTAAACAGTAAAGCAAAATAACCAAGACCAGAAATATTGTGTTAATATATATCCTAAAGTTGAATATAAGTAGTGTCACTGAAGATTACTTGTCGTATTTGATTCAGAAACTTCTCAAGCATCCGGATAATGAAGCCTGATCTTTTGTAGGGCAACATACTTAGTTTTCGTCTTACAATCAACATCTATATCAAAACGTATAGACCCATGAAATCAAAGTCCAGCGTTAAATTTGAGAATTTATCGTAACTAGAGCGGAAGTAAACACATTTATTAGAATAAGGTCTAGAGTAGACAGTAGAAACGAGTAATACAGTTTGTCCATCTGCCCATGGTTACATTGATGGTCAGGATGGATTTCCTTGCTGTCGATCTCTTGGTTATCCTTTGCAGTTGATATCTTTCTGAAGTATCTGAGATAAAATCCTCACATCTAAAAATACATTAATTAGAATATTAACAACAAAACTATTTTCTATAGAAAAACTGTGTTGTCACCCTTTTTACAAGGTCTTATTACTGAGAAATAGCGAATTTTGATTATTTCCCATGATATCGAGTTAGTAGAGGTATAGCCTATTATCATCGCTCTGAGAAAAGACAATCGGCACTATATTATGACTCATCTAGTGGTAAGTGTTTCGATAACTATACATAAAAAATAAAGCACTCAAACTAAAATAACATTTTTTTCAAATTCCAAGTTCCCTTTTTGGGAAATATGACCTAGACGAACCAGTACTATGGTGCTAAACGAAAGCTTTAATACATCAAAATGTCAGCTATTTCCCGAAATGTGTAACATATTTCATTGTTCCTAAGGTGGAAATTAGTTTCGCACAAGTCAAAGACAATGAATTCAGCCTAGGATTGTGTGAAATAGGAGTTAAAAAAAACTTCAGGGAATTCATATTCAAATGCAAACCTATAGAAGCACCGATTTAATAAAAATATAAAAACTGTTTTAGGTGCATACGTGGAATTCAGTTTCAATAAGCGGTAGGAAGTCATAAGGGTAAAAGCGAGATATGTCTAATAACTGTTCTGTACGTGATTTTACTCCGAATGTAACGTCAGATAACAACCGAAATCGGGTGGACAGAAAAGTTATTTCGTTAACCCTATATATCTGAATTCATGTAATACCCAAGCTAACCAGAATGTTTGTCATCAAGCTATCCTTTTTGACGGAAATCTGTGGTAACCTATTATCGCTTAATCAGAATCTGCGAATACCAACTCGTTAAAACAGAAAAATTGTGTGATATATCACAGCAAACTAAGCGTCAAGTAACCCATTATGTCATTGAATGAAGAGAATTCAGCGAAGAAAATTCTTTTTTCGACAAAATCATTTACTTAAGCTGTACATTCGTATTTATAGTTGTATGGTAAGTATATGTCTATAGAAAGATTGCATCATAAAGTGACTCGAGACTCTGAATATCAAATGAGGTTGCATAATAATCAGGGGGTTAGAAAAGAATAAAAGGATGAAAATAATTTACGGGTTAGAATTTCGAAAGATAATTGTCCGTCTGACAGATATGGAAACGAAAAACATAAATATCATAGTAATGACTGAATAATAATCATGAAAATTTGTTAAACGACAATAATAAATGATAATGGTTTAAAATTATAAGACAATAATTTTAAAAAAAGCAAGACCAGAACACACTGGAAGGGAATCAGGACCAAGAACGTATGACAAGTTGGACGTATCGTTTTCGTACGTAGAGTATTAACCACAACATTGTCCCTCTACACGAAGTACACAATACTTCACTATAACTCAAGGTTGATGTATAGTTTAGAAAATTCAGCAATCCAAGTGCAACTTAGTATAGAAACACATATTTGTATGCCACGTCACAGTTTCCACCTTTGTTGGAAATCATTCATGGCATAGATTACTCAATTCGAACATCATAGGGTAGTAGATATACGTTATTTATCTCAAGCATAAGTAATGATTCTATGGAAGGAAGAACGGAAAAATGATGTTCTTAATAATACCGAGTAATTTTGTTTTACACACCTTTATGACATTTTCTAACGCTTATGCAGGTCGAACAAACCAAGAATAAATATATTCATTCATCTTAGACATGGAGTGGAAAGGCTAGTTCTAATCCGTCAATCTAATATGAGTTCAAACTATCTTTCAAAGAGTAATTAGTTATTCGAAATCATGTGCATTTATTTATTCATTTTGTAGATTCCCATATTATTAAAAACTGCTGTTGTAGCTTTATGACCGCTTCACACGATCTTGCTAACTGTATATGATGGATATTTATGCGTTACATTACACGTGATATAGTTTGCAAATGAGAACGTTAGAGCAGTATCTGTGAAAGGTTTTGAGAAAATACACATGTATCGCTCAACATACTGTTGGGTGATCAGAGGCAGTCGACAGGAAACCCAAGACATAAATTTCGCGCTATTTGGCACTACTTGACAAAGTGCACTTGTAATCTTGAGGGGGATGGTGTTCCCCTTAGAGCCGAATGTGTCATCCAACATTGCAGGTATGCCCTACTAACGTGTACTATATAATAAAGAACTTAGGTCAAAGGTTTCTTGTCGATTACTTCCATCCGCCTTACACAGCACAATGCATGCAATGGTTAATCACTTTGGGTAGTAGCCCAATTGCAAATTGACCTATAAATTTCGATTAGCAATTAGGGAACTAGACATATGTGAAACCGGTCTCTACTCACTGATAAAATAGTTGTAAGTGATCGACAAAAATATTGGTTTTCTGTTGTATGAATATGACACAACTAATCTTATAACAAGTGTTATTGCAGTGCATCATAAGGTGGGGAAAGTGATCAGTTTATGGCATGGCACTATGGAACGCAGGATAGTAGTGATGCGTCAACATGTCGAAAAAACATGAAATTGAATTTTAAAAGTCATCATACGTTTTTTTTAGAATAGGGACACACTAATGATGCTAGATTTTGCAATTTTGTTCTTGATAAACAAAACGACGTACTATAGTGTAGAGGATTAAAACGTAATTTGGTCTTATTATTTTATTTTTTTCCACTAATAAGTGACTAATGTTACGATCAAAAACAAGTCTAATCCCAACCACTGCTACGCAGACAATATTCACTTAAAAATCTTACACAACTTTGTATGTACTTTATGTCTAAAACAAGTTTAAGAAGGTAAACAGTAAAATCTTAATTAATCTTTTGTAATTCTATGCTAATATATATTTTGCAATAATAATAAAGTCGGGCAGGTGTCAGACAAAATCCCGGTAAGGATTTAGAAAGCTTTTTTGACTTTAACTTTCTTCCATCAGTTAGAGCGTGGACGAAATGTTTGTCTATCAACCAAAGGGCGTGTACACTGTACAAAAGTGTGCTTTGTTTATTTATGGCTGTGTAACATAGCATATGAAAGCAGATGACATCCAAAGGCCGCAGGTTTTTGACCATAGACATCTTAAAATCACCGCTGGCGTTTCACAGAGCAACCAAGTGAGCGATTTTGAGGTTAGGCGTAGGGTACTAGGTAAAGATAGCCAATTAGTTTATATGGTTGTGGATTTTCTTTATGTTTTATGTATACCTAACCGCCTACCCCTGCAGTGTTAGCTGGTATGGAAGACAAAAGAAAGTTAGAGGTGCTCAAACCAATGTATGATATCAGTTCATATTCACTGACTGTTGGCAGATCCAGACTACTTGGTTTGAATCTGAGCTATAACCGCGATCACTGGTGGGGGACTTTGGGTGACATGTTTTAGGATTGGTTACAATGGTGCAGTTATATTTACTATTTACTTTACTCCAGATCTGAATTTTAAGTATTTCTTTATACATATCTTTTTATTCTATTTTCTAGAACTACACTCTTAATCTCTAGTTTTCCTTATTATCATTATTGGCACTAAATCATTTCGACTACTTCACATAGTGTTAATGTGGTATATTAGCTTAGATCAATGCATATTTATTCACGTTTTTATGTTGATTACGACTAAGTGTTGTTATGTTACATAAATATTACAAATTCACTGTTTAAGAAAATAATGTCGAATGATTAAAATACATAATGTACATCCATGATGAAAACTGATTGGAAAAAACATTTCTCCGCTATTTTTCTCTACGTGTCTAAATAGGAATTCCAGCTTTATTGAAGTTTAAAGAGAAGTAAATTTAATGTAGTCATGTTATTTGCACAGTAAAGCAGACAGGAAAACAGTTTTGCTAGACAGTAAACTGGACGGATTTAACATCAAGTGCCATCATTGAAGATTGAATGACGAAGTGACATTATCATTTATTTGAGGTTTTAAAGTTCAGCAGCATTATTTCTCACAAAATATCAAATCGATACTGAATAGAACGACATGATCTGTTCTGTAACAAATAAGGCTGATTTAAAGTCTTTTCAGAATTTTAAGCTGAACAAAGGCAGTTCTTAGGAATTTTTACTGTACATTATAACTAACAAGGAAGGCCAAATTTGTATGCACAATCTATGAAAGTATAAGGTTATATATTGTTTCTTAATAACTGATTCATAGTGCAA